AGACCCACTCCTTGAGCTACTTGTTCTAAGTCCAAAGCCATACAGTGGACCTTATCATGACTTGCTACCGCAAGACAAAAATCGCTTAACAAACTCTCAGGAACCCTGTGTGGACCTGATTAGGAGCGATGCCGCGGACATCCCTGAAGAGCTTGCTGCTAGCTAGTTGCCTGACATGTGGGATGGAATGAGAAGTCTGCTTCTCGAATGCATTTGTATATGAAATACTAAATAGTCGGATGATGTCCGTGTATGTCCTTATAGTTCCCACAATACTGCTACGAACCCTCACCACACTCACACTGCGTCTCCGAGGCCCTCAACCTTAAATCATATAAAAACCCGCGAGCTGCAGTCTTCGAACTTGAAGCCGCGGCCTCCTGTCGATCCCTCGGGGCCTCAAGACAACTGCGAGGCTTCCATTTCAACTGAGTCGGAGTGATATTTGGTAGAACTATGAATCTGAGGTTGAGCTTGGGGCTGGAAAGAGTTCGTTGCCCCTCCAAAGGCAGAGGATTAAATAGTCAGAGTTGTGGATGTTTGGAAGTTTTCCGCTCTTGCGGGCTGGCTGTACAGTTAACACGCCCGACCTTTTTCGGCTAGATTCGTGGCTTTTGTATGCATCCAGCAATACCCAACGTAAATGCACTCTGCTATCCTAAGGGGTTGGAGACTGACGGCAAACATAAGAAGATTACTAGCTTATACGAGCATAATCCGGATGCTGTTTTGACGGCGAATGTGGGCGTCTGGGGGAAGAAATACTACCGTCATCCCTAGCCCTTAGCCACTCAAAGCTCCTGCCGCTTGTGGACTTGGCCAACGGAATCAAAGGTCTTGGATGCGGTATGCACTGCCATTGTCACTGCTCTTTCTACAACCACCTCTGCTGCTACATTCTTACAGGATAATTGCAACAAAACAACGACGACGATGACGACCAGTACTCCTGCGACGTGACCAAACCCACTATCATGCAACAAATGTTGAAAAACAGGGGAGGATAAGTGATTCAATCGCTCACAAGCCCACTTTGCCCTCACATATGCAGCTGCAGCACCATCCTCCTCAGATGTGTCTTCTTCATTTTCCTCAAGTCTCGCAGGAAAGGTTCACGAAGGGTTTGTCAAAGCATTTCTTTATGAGGTGTAAAAACTATGTGCCACCTAAGAGCCAGTCAATACATAAAAAAGCAAGTGCTGCACAGCCCCATAAGTCATCCCTCTGTAACTTTCATACCGCAAGTATCACGGGTCTACATTAGGGTTCATAAGGCAGACTTCCCAGCTTCCAACCTTCGGATTCCTCAGGCAGACACCATAATATACCCTAATATACGATATAGTATACCATAATACACCATAATATACTATATTATACCATTAAAAAAACATAACATACTATATTATATCACAATACACCACAATGTACTATATTACAATATACCAGAATCTACTTTACTATACCATCAAAAGGTCCCAGCTTCTTCTTCTTTCCGTGCTTCTGGTCTGTGTCTGGTCCAGACATGGCAGTCGAAGGGTCCGTAGTCTGCCAATCACCCTCTAACTCATTGTCCTTGAGGGTGCGGACTTCTTTCAAGGGTTAAACTTAAGGGTTTAGCCTTGAAGGTTTGGGGGCTTGTGTGGGTTGGTCTAGAGTTGCGAGTCAACCACAATGAGTCACCAAAAACTCAATTTGATCCGAAATTTGATCCGAAAAGGGAGAAAACAAATTCAAAACACAAGGCCTTGAACCATCAGAGCAAAAGCCATCCACAACAGAATGCAATCAAAAAAATGCATTCGCCAAGACCAATGAACCTGAAAAAGCGTCAACAGCTCACGTCTCCTAATCATCAGCTGTGCACCCGGACAGCCAAATCTGATCTGCAGCGATTTCTCACACAACTCGTATAAAAAAAACAGACAGAAAACTGACACGTCGCGTAATGTAGATGGAGGAAATCTTGCACCACCTTGAGTACCCTACATCCCAGTAGTTCAAGCATCATGGGTTCCTAGGCGTGCAAGAGTTCTTCTCCAGCCTTCGTATCTCTCAAGACATCGGGTTGCAAACTTTTTGCATACCTGAACAAGACCGTCACATATCGTTGCTGCTTTGCGTATGCCTCCATGCCACATTTGTTTCTAATGGTTTCTTCTTCGCTGGTTTAATTTTCAGGGTCGTTCTTGTTGTTTCCCACTGCAGCTGCCGGGTCCAAAGCGCATGAGCCTAAGTAAGGTGGTGCACGCTCAGTTGAGGGCTTGTGAAAATCAGGGATCCGTTTCGGATCCCCTTAACCAAACAACACCCTTGTTTGCTTGCAGATTTGAAGGGCAACCATGATTTTGAGGAATACCTTTACAGTGTAAAGTTGCTGAGGCTGTTGGTAGGAGTATCGCCCACACCATGTAAGGATCTGCAGCGGTGGAGCCTGCAGCACATTAGGGGGTCCTACAAAACATGAGCCATTTTCAAGGACCGATCAAGGGCTTCTTGCAGAATCTGCAAGGTTCCACTTGGATTATGTCTGAATACGGCCATAAGCTTACAGCCTGCTTAACCCAGCAAGAAACCTGAGCCTCACGCCGAACGGATCTCCGAACCGTCCGATGAAAGATCGCTATGTTCCAGAGACTGCCGCTAGAATCCGCATGTCAGTCACCAGAAAAAAAAAAACATTAGTGCCAATTGAACCTTCAGAAACCGTGCATCAGAATGGACCGTCACCCATGCAACCATGGAACTCCATTGCGTATTTTTGAGGCTTGGGGTTCCTGATTAAAGCAAGGCAGTCCAATTAGAATCCATTTTGTGGGTTCCACGTCCCAAGGTTGAGGGGCTTCCGCGATCAGAATCCCAATCACAATAGCCCTGACTAACATGGGGATGCGTTCAAAGCAAGTCCCTGTTCTATGTTTCCAAAGAAAAACCTCCATGCAAGAAAGGCCCAAACAAGAAATGGGAGAGAAACCAGGACACGATATGGAAATGCAAACGCCGGCAATCACTCCAAACCCTGAACCCTAAACCTCATTGGGAAAGAATAGCCACGCCAGGACTACTCGGCACACGAGTCTATGGATTTTTCACACGATGAAGTCATTCCTGCATGAATGCCAGGCAGGAGATATTTTGGAAGCTCCTCAATTGAAAGCTAGCTGCAGCGAAGGCGCTTGCTGCTCACTCATGGTGTTGCCAGCGCACGGCGAGACAGCCCAACGGCGCACATCAGTTTCCGGCGGGATCAGGGATATTAATCAGCCCTCAGAGAGATGATTGTAAGGCTTTAGGGATTCCTTGCTTCAAGAAGGTCTGTAATCCAGCAACATCAGTACAGGAGATGACCATGCTCTGAACAGTGCACTTCTTCAATGTTAGGTGAGTAAGACTTCGAAAGAAAACGTACGACTGATAAAAGCGGAAGAGATTTTGACTGGCCGTCCGGCAGCTTGCCACACGCCTAGGCTTCCGCATTAAGCAGCTCTGTGCTGTAAAGTCGAACGACAGACTTTTGCACTTCAAAAAACAAGACCTGCCAATTGAACACAACAGCTGGCTCGAGCGAGTACGCATGCGACATGCAGGAGCTAAGATTCTGCAGCTTTGAGTCATGGGGTCTGAAAGGCGCAGTGCCCTTCCCTGTTTCTCCTGCTTCAGGATGGAAGCTTGGGAACTCCCTCCAATTCAATCCACAGACGAATTCTGTGATGGCTTTGTAAGTGCCGAAAAGGATTAACTTGGGATCCCCGAAAAGACTCCCTGGGCCCTACGAGACTCTAATCTCACGGCTGACTACGAGTCTTTGCTCTGTTAGCTGTCGTCGGATTTATTCTGTCGATCACCTCATACAGTAAGAAGCACTTAGGCAAATACTGAATTCAAAGAAAGAAATTACAATGCTGGCGCATCCCCCAACTGAGAATGCACCGTCTGCCACATAGGGAAGCAGTTGAATCAACAAAACAAAGCAGATCCCCCAAAAAGGTACCCCTAACTTTTGGAACCCCCCGTCTACTTCAGATTACAGCCTGTAAATCTGAAGTGTGGCAATGCAACGAGATTTAAGGTTTAAGGTTTAGGGTTTAGGGGTGTTGCCATGTTACAGAAACGGTGTACAGTGGCTACTTTCCAGGAACGCGAATGGTTGCTTTTGAACGGTTTAGGAGCCTGAAGCAAGAGAAAAGCGGCAGAAACTCCGGGATTTAAGGCAGGTTCGGGGATCTCAGGGGCAGGGAGCCATTAGAAACTCAGTACGTTGCTTTGGAGCTTTGATAGGGAACTTCTGCACAGTGCTTTGTCGGCATGTCGGGCAGAGCTTATCCCCTAGCCTCTGGACTAACTGGGCAAGCCTTGTCGCCGTAAACATCAACATACCGTCTATATGACAGCTGAAATCGAACAGTTCACAAAGCATTCTTAGGAGCGAGTGGGGGTTGCTTGCCGTATGGTTGCAACTGCGAGTCTAAATGCTTTTTTGCACAGTTTCCCTTTGTGATCTTTTTCTGCGTTTGATTGTGGCAAGTCGTTGGCCGCTTAGCGGCATGAGCCATGGCAGCATAGCGCCCGATGGGCATGTGCCAAAATCACGATCATTTCGGGCCTCTGTGTGGACAAACATTTATGCTATCTGTCTGTCTTGTGATACCTGCAGACCCCAACGTTGGCACACACTCAAACTGGGCGCGCATACACAAAATCTCATAAGATGTTCCGGGAAAGATTAGAGATCTGTGGAGAAATTCGATTCGGGGTCTCATGCCATCCCAACGGAAGTGGCTAGATCTGCAGTTTGGAACTTTCAGGTCTTCCTCAGATCCCTATCATGTGAGGCACAAGCCACAGGATCTAAAGACAACCCAACAAGGACCGAAACCTTGAACTATGGGCACCCCCCAAAGGTTCCCACGAAAAAACATCCTGAAATCCTCAAGTCTGACAATCGAATCCTACACAGCGAACCCTAAAACCTATGTATCTAGGCGTCTCGAAACCTCCCTTCACTGAGAAGGGGAGCTGGGACGGCCTGAGAAACTTGAAGTCCTAAAGTTTAGGGTTTAGATTAGAGTTTAGGGGTTTAGAGTTGGGGGGTTTTGGGGTTTAGGATTCTAGGGTTTTAGGGTTTAGAGGTTTGAGATTTGGTGGCTTTGGGGGGATTTGAAGGGGTAAGAATGTGGGAGTTGAGGCGTCTAGGGGTCGGGGTGTGTGGTTTGAGCTTGAACTAGGGGGTCACTTGCAGGGTCATGGGGACTTAGTAAGTAGGTTAATAATTAAGATAATTAGGGTTACTATATGGGTTATACAGGTTATTAACCCACTTACTAAGTCCCCGTGACCCTTCAAGTAAGAATCGAGGAGTTTCGTAGATGGGTTTTATGACCATTCCCAGGACGTCTCATATGCATTCTTTGTGCGGGAAAATAGGAGGTTTCGCCAGTCAAAAATGTCGAAATCTTTAGAAGAAGACCCTTCCTCCTGCTTGTCTGGGTTGCTGTTGAGGAACTTAAATGAAGTTACCATGATGGGTCTGTATAATACTTAATATGGCTTCCAAACAGATAGTAACTTAAATTGCGTTCCTTAACAGCAACCCAGTTGTCAACCCCAGTACCAAATTACAAAGTTGCTACTTTGTCGGGTTAGCATTGCAGGTTTGGCGCTTAGGGATTCTTAGCTTCAGGACTGATGTTTTCGGGCCAATGGCTCGGGCGTCATGCCTAGGCTTTGGGCACCCAGGCCCTGAAAAAGGTGGCACTAGGATGAGTCGATCACCCACCCAGTAATGGGAGGTACAACAAGAAATACGTATAGGTATATTAAGGCCCTATTAAATCCAAAATTAAGGGCAATCACTGTAGGGGGGATTGACCTCAGAACTAGCTGAGCCTTCCTGGCGCTCACGGGGCAGGGCACTTGTCCCTGAACCCTAAACCCTTCGTTCACCAACAGCACCGGATTCTCAAGACCCTTCGAAGGAGGCACGCCCAAGAGAACGCAACGTCCCTACATATCCGTACGTAACTGCCATATACCACCTTTACATCCCTATAAATCCCTACATGTAATCCAGGTTGCTTTCTCGAAGGAGCTCAAGTATTGTGTCCATTTTGCCATCCAAGCTTTTCACAGTCTCCTGCGCTGGCTTAGGGTTCAGGCCTCAGGGATTCACGGGCAAAACATTGAGAAGCTCACAATAACTCACCTCTGCTCTTGCAAATAACGACCAGGACTTCAGGCGCCCGCAGAAGCCTGAAAACCACGAAACCCAAAACCCTAAACCCAAAATGCTACACAAAAAGTCTTTGTAAGCCCCTGAACCAGGCTGAGGGTCCTGAGGGAGCGGTGGTAACACAAACAAACATGTGAGTAGTGCTTTTCTTGGTGGTTGAACCTAGTAAGATAGTATTCCTTATGTAAAATACTATACCCTAAAAAGAAGATATAATCTTACTCTATAATGGGTACCATAGTGTCTTCAAATTAAATTCTACTCATAAGTCACCGTCAAACAAAGACAGCCAACACGCTCATGTAACTTACGCTCGAACTGCAAATTTCTTGCCTTCAAACTGCAAATTAACGAAAACATGAGGAGCGGCTCAGCCTGATCTCCTCCCTCTAATATTAACCCCCCCACCCCCCGTGATATTAAATACTCCCAATACACTATAATATACCACAATGGGGAATATGTGATATTAGGGGGGGGTGGGCGGGTCCTGGGGATTTCGCGAAACGGGGCGCTCTGAGGGTTCCTGGAGCTATGCGGGGACCATGCTGTAAGACTCTGGTGGGAGGGTCTCAACTGATTTGGGTTTAGGGTTTGGGGTCTAGGGTTTGGGTTTAGGGTTTACGGTTTAGGGTTGAGGTGCTTTCGAAAATCCCTGGCTGAAGCGCCTTGTCGATGTTTGTATGGGCATAGTTTGCAACACTAAGGAGTAAAACTTCCGGCAAACCCTAAACCTTGAACCCGATACCTAAACAGTGAGGCATTCATTCGTCTTCAAGTTCCTCTGACGCAATAACCACCCCGGCACCCCTATGCGATACCTATGCGATGCAACATGCTAGGCATATGCCTGCAAACAAAAAGCAGCCCGACTCCGATCGCGGCTGTAAGACATGCAAACAAATAGCCCCTGTCCTCGAACCTGAATATAGGGTGGACCAGGAAGTTGCACATACCTACATCATCTAACAGAATCCCAAGTCCTAGAATTCCCTCAGGGGTCTTTTGGTTTAGGGTTTTTTTACGACCGCCATGCGCCACCAACACTACTCCGGAAGTAGTTAAAAGTCGCGTTGGCGCAGCAGCCAGCCGAGCAGGGTATTCTGGGTGTTTCGTAATGTACTGTTTGAGGCCTAGGAGGTCCAACCTGCTTTGTGAGGAGTAGCCTGGTTGGGTAGGGACGTCTTGTGCAAAAAATGTTAGTGCACGCTGAGAGGTTAGGCCTAAACAATGAGGGGGTGGAGGGCCGCGTTTACTGTTGCGTTGAATGCCAACTCTGTCTGAATATCCTGGTGAAAACATGACATGATGAAAGGGGTCATCAGTGGGAGTAAGAATAGACTCGGTGAGGAGTTTAAATTGGGCAGACATAAGGGTTTGGGAAGGGGTAGCCGGCTTGTTGGCTTTGATCCATACTGCTCTGTTTGGGATTCTGGAATAATATGACGCCTTTATGCCTACGACTCTTCTGAGATAGTTGAAGTACCAGTGGTTTAGGGTTTAGGGTTTAGGGCCGCAAGATTTCAAAATTCATGTCGGAGCGGTGCAAGATGTTGGACACCAGGTCTCGAGAGGTTGGCCTTAGGAAATCCTGATGTCCTTCCCTACTGCGGATGGTTGATACCTTGCACAACTTTACATCCCCATGCCTTGGGAATTACAGCCATAGCGTTGCAAGATTTCCTCCACGCACCAACTGTCACCACTTTATACCAAACCTAATGCTGCATAGCCAAGACCGATGTAGTTTGAAGCCTGAAGATACAGCTATTGGCGGGGATCGGCAACCTGATGCTACCCAGGCTTCCCAAATACTTGCTGAGGGAGCTCTAGCTTTTCGACTGGCTTCGGGTCCTGCTGATCTTGGAGTGCCTTTTGCGAATCTTGGAGTGTCTTCTGCTGCTCTTGCAGAGTCTTCTCCACCTTTTGTATCTTCTCCTGCGGCAGAAATCCAACAGGAGGACCAAGACTTTGAAGTTGTCAACAACAAGAAAACGATTAAGTCAAGCAACATGTTGGGCCGGTATCAGGTATTATGGTGTATTAAAGGAAGCTTCAGGTGAAGAACTAACATCGCATCTCCTTCAGCCCCCTCGCAAATCATGTGAATCACAACTTGGCTCGGGGGAAATGTCTTTTGTACACGCACTCATCCAACGCAAGCTTTAAAATCGTCAATCTTTTCCCCATACCTCCAGGGCCAGCGCAAACTCCGAAAAAATAGACTCTATGCTGTAAACCCAAAACCAAATCGTGAAAAGGGCTGGTGGAAAGTGGTGGGGTGGTGGGTTTATGCAACGTGCGAGGAGCTAGCCAACAATTAATGACTTCCTGCCCAAGCCTTTCAACCCTGATTCTCAATCTCTACACCTCAGACTCTACAACCCAAACAGCAAAACCCTTTAAGCCCCAAAACCCTTACACCCTAAACCCTGAACTCCAAACCTGCTTCATCCAAAACACCTGAACCCCAAATAGAGGCCTTGAGTTCACTCCGCATGCCTCTGAGCTCATCTGCGCCAGGGCGGACAAGCGCAAGAATCTCGCCTGAGATTCATTTTAGCAGGCTATCCCAGTTTCAGACTAAGGGCACCGGGGCTTAGGATTGAGGATTCAAGGTTTTTTAGGATTCAGGATTTTAGATTTCGGGCTTGTGGTTGGGGGTTTTGGGGGGTTTTAGGCATTTTTTGTCAGGCTTTTGGTTGCGCACAAGAAGTTCTCGAAATTATGCTAGCCGTAAGAACTGCGGACAGATTGGCATTCTTGTGGACGATAAGGGTCCCTCGCAAGAATTATATACCGGCCCCTTTGGTCTCAGAATAAAGACCAGAATGCGAGGTTTTTATGGTGGTCGAGCTGTGTCGTTGGGTCGTTTTGGCCGTACAAGGAATTGTCATAAAGCATGAAGGCTATCTCACCGCTGAGCCAGGGACATTCAGAAGCCCAACGATCACCGAAGAGGCCGAACACAGCAAAGTTCACGGTGTAATGGAGGCCATTCACCTGATTTTCAGAACTGAGGGTGATATTCGTAAATTGCAAGCTCTCAAGGTTGGAGATTTGGTTGTTGGTCTACAGGTTCCTACCCGTACTGCAACAGCAGTTCTGACATCAAAGGCTTTATAAGGATGGGCAGAATAAGAAGAAACGTGGAAGTAGTACGCGTTCCACGTCATCTCATCTGGCCCTTGTGGTGAGTATGTTTTAAGAACGCTATCCATGTTCTAGCCCAAATACGCCAAAGGACATTCTCGACATCAGAGTCTGGGGAGGGGTGTTTCATGTCAGGCGGAAACGATTAATTGCCATCTAGTCCTCCGCACCTGGATGCCCACCAGGCGTAGGACCAGGGCCACAGCAACGAAGACCAGCAAACTCGCGAGTGAGAGGGCCAGCAGCACGATGGATATCACGGGGAATATCAACGACAGACACGGACAGCTCACCACGGGTTTGTACACCATGCGCGCACGGAAGCGCCTCCATATGTCTTCAGGCTTGGGGCCTTCAGCAGTCAACAAGGGGCCACTACGAGGGGGAGCCAGGACATACCGAAGAGGGACCAGGGCCCCAATTCCCCAGCTGGCACACTGCCGGTATATTGACGGGAGGTTGTCGAACTTCTTTTGCATCTTGTCATCCTCGGCTGGCCCGTGCTGTACTGGCTCAGTCTTCTGGCCGTTAGAACCTTTGGCCCATCGCGGTGACACCTTATGGAACAACTTACGAAGTTCTTTGAGCTGAGCCCAAGGCCGGCGCTGCTGTTCAAGCAACATGCGCGCCCGGGCCTGCACAAAGAGGACCTGCGCCCTTCCTTGCTGCATCTCGTAATTTTGGCTAAGAATACCGATCAACAAGTTCATGAGTAGGACTTGGACGCCAATACCGGTGCAAAAGAATAAGCCTTGCAAGTAGAGGTAGGTCTTTGTTTCCAGATCTTCACCTATGGGCTCCGGGTCCACCGGCTCCCAAAGCTTTGGATTCGTCTGATTCTGCTCAAACAGTGTGTCCTGGCCCTGGTACTCAAAGAGATCAAAATCTCCGAACATGGCGAGACGAACGGTATGGGTGAAAGCAGAATAGAGCGGAAAGGCGTCCTCACCACGGGGCCCCAGGATCACGTAGGCGTGTGTTGCAGCCGCGATGCACCCCATGGTGACAAAGAAGAAAGCCACAGTGTCACGTACAGCTGATAGGATGGGTAGTAAGTAAGGTCCCAGCCACCGCTCTCCACGAAGGCTGTACATAAATCGCAGCCAGTACATCGAGCAAAACCACGGAAGAAAGACCTGGCTAATGGGTGGTAACCTTCTTCCAACATTACCAAAGGCTTCGGAGGTACCGGGAACCAAACCACATGGAATTTCCCCCTATGACCCTTGGGCCTTTTCCAGCACCGGCGACTCCCCGCTGCATAGCCCCATCCTGGGAATTGCAGAAAAGTTTGAGGAATCAAAAGGCTTACGAAATCTGGAGTTGAGTGTACTGATTGTGGTTTCGAGTTTCGTGACTGAGGTTTCGACCTTCACTGGTGATAGTGCACATGGAGCAAATCTTGCACCGCAAAACCTAGACCCTTTACTCTGTCGGAAGTACAGTATTGTGAGAGGCCTGAGCGGTACAAGATCTCCTTTGCGACAGTAGGACAAGTGTTCTTTACTCATCAGCAACGAGCATCTGAGGAAGAATGGCAAGGTAGCCAACGACCAGGAACAGCAGATCAGCTGCAGTTTCGAGGCTCAGAGCCGGATGAGCCAAAGATGCAGCTTGTGTGATCTCTTTGCGTAAAGCAGCTATCTCCTCATCATCAGAATTTCTGCCACAGATCATATACAGCTTGTCATCAGAAGCTTGCAGAAGATCCAACAAACGGCCAAAGGCAAGCTGGCCAATCTGCGTTATCCATTCAATAGCTTCCTTTGCGTGAATAAATGCCAACGTCCACAACGCCGGCCTTCCGGATAGCTTCAGCAACATGATAAAGCATGCTGGCTGACCTTTCTACTCTAAGCTAGATCTGGACATACAGATACATACATATATAGACATGCACAGTTGCATGTACATTTGTGTCTCTATATCTAGATCTGCATATACAAACACATATGTACGCCTCCAGAAGAATCAAGCCCTCATGACAAGATCCCCAAATCTGTGTGGCGATCATCTAAGGTCAGGACTGACCATAGATGCCATCGCCAAAACCACAAGTATAGGTTACCAAACACCTGGGCCGTTCAGGGTCTGGGATTGGCGATGGGGGTTTATTGCTTGGGGATTCAAGATCAAATTGTGCTCAGGCGGGTTCAGCATTTACAAGTGGGGTTTAGGGGTTTAGGGTTAAGGTGTAACAGAAATAGTAATAGAGTTGAATAAAGTAATAGTAAAACTAAAGAATAGCAATAGACATAGCAATTCCACAATCCAGGCACAGGCAGGCCAACGCCAGCAGGTCGAGCCCAGCATCGACAGCTGTGACCAACCGCAGCTGTAGCCATGCTGCGGACGTGATCGCCTCCACGGTATCCTTGTGTGGTTTTGGGCCTCCAGCCCCTTCTGGAAAGGACACTTGTGGGGAAACAGGATGTGACCAAAAACCCTTCCACGAAATCTTGTAAGATCTCTTACTTAGATGCAGTCGTGAAATGCAGCTTAAGAAGAACTAGGTCGAGCACAGCCTAGCATCTGTGCCCAGGGTCTCTTCGTTAGGAGTGTCTGCTATAGCCTTCAGCACCACTTTCTTGCATGCTGCCAGCGCGGGTATTGGAAGTCTTTTCAAAGATGTTTGCACCTTCGGAGCTTTCAAGAGGTTCTGGTATTCTAAGCGAAGTGCTGAGCCTTTCTTGTCCGGCTTCTCGGCTTCTCGCTTCGGCTTCTCGCTTGGCCTCTTGGATATAGCCTCCTTCGACTGCAGTCGCTGGATAGGGTCAATCAACTTGTGGAAGGCAGCACTGAGACTGAGCCTTCTAACGGGATCCTGCTTGGGATCCTTTTGTGCCTCGCTGCTGCCCTGGGAGGAAGCCTGACACTGCGCATGCAGAACACCCAAAAACAACTACAAAGGTCACTTCAAAACACAAGCGGTTAAAAAGCACGTTTGTCACGTTACGATTCAGTCTTCAGTTGCCAAATGCAAGCTTGGCACAAAAACTTCCCTGGCAGCTTCACGGTCACCGAGAATGGTGCGCATGTGCTCCCGCAAAGGAGCTGATTGCTTGCAGTCGGGAACCTGCATACAAGGCGGGGTTTTCTACATGTTTGAGTAGGCAGCTAGAGCAGCATCAGTGGCCAGTAGCCGGAGCAAAAGCAGCAACAGCAATTAGGACACACCACGGAGACCACCTGAAGCGGCACTATTACCACCGCCACCTCTGCAGCTGATCGGAACCCGCGTTAGCACGACCACAACCACAATCAAAGCCGCCACCACCGCCACCGCCCGCGCCAACCCCACACTCCCGCCGCCGCCGCCGCCGCCGCCGCCGCCACCACCACCACCACCACCACCACCACCAACAACAACAACAACAACCATGACCACGACCTAGACTTCCACTGCCTCTGCGACACAAGCAAGAAAAGACACGAACACAACGAAAACGCCAGGTAAGAATGCAGTGCTGTGTGTGCAAGCAAGTACACAAATGAGACGACGTTCTAAACATGCATGTCTGCTGGTAACAGCCAACAAATTCCTGAGGTGCTGGACAATTCCAGATGTGCCAATCCCCAGCATCTCAGTTGTTGGTACCAGTGTCATACCAGATCAGGTCTCTCCTAAATTTCCGCTGCCGAGAGCACTGGCAGACATGCTTGTAGCCCGTCAGCAAAGGGTGATTTTTAAAAAGTTGCTGCTCGCGGCCGATGCTTCTAGTTTCTCGGAAGCTGTGATTACATGCCGGTTTTGTCACAGCATGGCCATAAGAACAACACCGATCTTGATCTTGAAATTGCTCTGTTGCTTGGAGTTTATGAACAAATGATATCGACCACATGGAAATGCATCAATGCTCTGCGCTTGCAACCATTTTGAAAAGGCATCCATGCCCGAATCATGACCATGGGCATGTACGATAGTTGCCTATTTCGAAGAACATGCCAGCCTAAACTATTATAACATCCAACCAGCACCACATCCCTGTCAAAGGGCATCCACGTCATAGGAGACCAGTGTGCCAAAGTACGTTTTTCAGTTGACTAATTTACTTTCCAGAAAGCATTCAAATCATGATTGCCTCCATTGTGAGTTTTCTGGTTCGAAGTTCGTCCGTGCCCAAGAGATGACGACTCTACAATCGCTTTCATGTCGGGCGCCGCAAGTAAGATTACATTCACTTGGGATTGCGTCCAGTTCCAAGCGTGTCCATGCCCAGGTCGTATTGCAGGAGCCTATGAGTAAGGATAAATGCAGGACAGGCTTGCGGCATTGTTCAAGTGACGCTTGGCTTCTGGTTATGGGAACCTGTGTGTAGGGTAAAGTCCGTGACAAGGAACATTCTGCTTCCGTTAAAAACCCTACACATAGAAGGTGATTTGAGGGCGAGCTTTCCTTGAGCTTCTGAATGCTGTCATGGATGCCAAACGCATTGTCGAGCACAAAACTTGGAAGGGGCTCCCTTCAAATGTCACTGTGCAGCCTAAACCCCAAACCCTAAACACAGTTTTAAACCTTTCTCTTTGAAGGATGCATGCAATTCGGATTGGTGGCCCAAGCCCATCTGGACGCCTTCTTCGTTGCTGCAGCATTCGCAGCATCATTCAGCGCTGGTGTGCCAAGACTGCTTGCAATTCATGGAACATGCAGTCGAGCACAAGACTCAGTCCATAGCATCAGCTTTTATCAAACCCCACAGGACCTCCAAAGGGTAAAGCATGAAACAACTCATGCCGTCATTGCTGGACTTCACCTCTACCTGTCCTGCGCGCAAACCTAACTTACTCTCATCCTGACAATCATCATCGGGGACGTCGCCATCATCCTCGTCATCATAGTTCCAGTTCAAATCGTCACCATCACTCCATCACGCTTGATTACCACAATGTGCTGATCGATGCTACTGCTACTGTTGTTGCTGTTGTTCGTAATTTATGCCGCCGCCTCCTCAAGTAAGTCTTCGACGACCTTCGTAAACTCTTCTCCCTCACCATTCAGCAGATAAGCGAGCAGGTCAGAGATCGCCATGACTGCAATGCTCGGATCCTCTGGATACTCTTCAGTCTTCTGTCGCGCCATAACTGCGACACTGTGTGATTCATCGCCATGCTTTCCTTTGTCTTCGCCTTTCCGATCACTACCCTGAATATTCTGGAGCGCCTGTCTGACAGCAGCCACTTTCTCCTCTTTGTCGTGATATCCTCGGCTATGCTTTCATCTGTTCCGACTCCACTTACACGAAAGGTCTCTAACCAGAAACAAGGAGAATCGACAAATATCCTAAAGCACGACCCTGTGGCTCTCCAGAAGCTTTGCAACGCACTTTCTATCATGAGCGTCTGCTGTCCAAATGAGGTGCACAAACAGGCTTCCGGTCTTCCACATGTGACCTTCAGGGAGTTCGTGATATTTCGCATGCATCTACGGGACCTGATTACATCTTAAAAAAACTCTCAAACCTAAACCCTAAACCCCTATATCCTTATGTGAACCTTGACCTTAGAATGACCCAAGAATTTGCGGGTAATGGTACACCTGGCCTTAACACCATCAAAAACCTCAGGGGTCAAGGTAAACGCCTACATAGGTAGCACTGTATCAATACCCTAAACCCCAGACCCTAAATACAGAACTCCCAACCCTAAGCCCTTTACCATGTCTGCGGCAAAGGAATCTGAGGCTTTGCAACTTTGGGCCTCCAAGCAGCCACTGCTGCAGCTGCCGAATTTCCTGCGACAAGAGCTTAGGGCTTAAGACTTAGGATTTGGTATGAAAAGCTGCTGAGGGTTTAGTGTTTGGGATCTGAGGTTTAGGTTAGGGTTGTAGATCCAGGGCTTAGGGCTTGGGATTTGAAATTTAAGGCATAGGCGTAGGGATATAGGACATCAGGCTTTGGCTTGGGGTAAACTAAACCGACATCTTTGGTTTAGGGTTTAGGGCTAGGGTTTAGGGTTTAGGGTTTAGGGTTCAGGGTTTGGGGACATCTTTGGTTACATAATCCGTGTATAGGCTTGAGAACCTTTTAACCTCAAGAAACCACTGCACTGTATGGCCCATCCCCGTCGGGATCTCAGGGGCTCTTAGGAAGACCGTCATACTAGGAATTATGTCCAGAACCAGGCTGTGCAAATTCGAGCAAAATTGCTGAGTTGCCACAGATGCGCAATGTGCTTTCGGCCCCATGTGTGTGTGCACCGGGCGATGCACTTCAGTATTTCTCTATTACATGCAGTAACCCGAACACAGCAACCCTCGAATTCACAGAAACAGGCCTTCATTGATGGAAAAAAACTGGGTTTAGGGTTTAGGGTTAAGCACAACTGTCCCGCCCCACAAAGGTTGCCTCTGCAGCTCTTTGCTTGTGGTCCAGCTCTGTGGAGGCTGTCTCAGCTGAGGAACCAGGCGATTCCTGAGCAGAGTTTGATGCGAGCAGGAACTCGTGGTGGAGGGATCTTCCTGTCTCCTTACAGCTATCAGACATATCAAACATTCTATGCATCTTGCAGGGATCAGGGTGTATGCTTTGACTTGTCGATTCAAGCGGCTTTCAACTATTACGGAAAAAACAGGTATTGACCAGGCTATACCTTGGAACAACACCTTGAGGAAGTCGCCTCAGGTTTCACTTACTAGGCTCGATGGGAAGAATATGGAGGAAGCTACCCATGAAGCTTCCTAACAAGTGACAACGCCACATCACAAGCGAGACCTCTTCCCCCTCGCACTGTACGGCTTAATGCACCCTCATTCTACTAGAAACCTGGAAACTCAGGCTACAAACCTGAATTCTAGGTTCGGAGCCCCCAAGCAAGGGCAGACCCCATACACGGCGGCGTGCCCCAAAACGCAAGAAGCGACAAACCTGATCAGCCCCTAAAATCGCCAACAACAGTTCGAACCTCGACTCACATCCCCAAGTAAACTCAGCCGGTAACCACATTCCTTGACCCTTCTTCCTCAAACTCTACATCCCAACCTCCTGCCTGCCCTCAGCCCATATAACCCCAATATACACCCTATTATACTATAGTAGCTTCCATGTTCTTTTCTATTATCCCAAAATATATATCCTAGTATTATATAGTAGTTTCCATTTTCTTTTCCATTATCCCCATATTAGGGTTGAGGAGGCTAACTTTGATCCAAGAAGCTGCAATCTTTGCCGGCTGAGAAGCCTGCGTTCTCCAAAACATTATTGGGTTTATATTGGGGTTTATATTGGGTTTATTTTGGGGTTTATAGAGGAATGGAGAATCACTAGGGAATATATAGGGGTGACCTCACGAAGTCATCGCGCTGTTTGGGACACACCCTGTAGTAGGGGTCTCAGGGACTCTCGGGAAGATAGCTGTCATAGTAGTCACGATATAGTGCAGCCTACACCTACCCCTACACATGTCTCATGACATAGGCTTGAATAACAAAGAAAAGAAAAAAGAGTACTATAGCCGTATAAGCTAGTGCACCTGCAAGCGCCAGTAATTGAATTCTCATGGATCCGCGATGCGTTTTAAAACACCAACTGTATGCTCGCTGCAACCCCAGAACAGTCAAATGGTGCACGACCTACCGCCACTGAGAACTCACCTGTCCGCGAAGAGTTGGGACGTCTATTTCAATGCTGACCTTCATGGACGAGTCCGTCCTGCTTTGAAAACAACCGTCCGCTCCGCAAATGTTGCCTCCGCCGTTCTCTGCTTGTGATCCAGTACCATGGAGGGTGCCTGTGCTGATGGACCAGGCGAGTCCTGAGAAAGTTGTGCGGAAGCAGGGCTTTGGGGTGAAGGATTCCCGTCCGGAAAATCTTCCGGTCGCCTTACACGCATCAGACATGTCAAATTCTCTCCAGATCTATGATTTATTTTATGTCACTACATCTCCCTGTCTGCTTTCAACCCCATCTACCCCACGGCAACACATCCACCAATCTGACCCCAAATAAAACAGTCTACCAGTTTAGGTTTTAAGGTTTAGGGAAAGTTTAGGGTTTAGGGGGGGTTCAAAACAAAATCCTCAAGGGACTTCTTTTGGAAAAGCTCCCTCTGAACCGTATCAATCCCCGTGGAGCATCCACCAGTCAAACGGTCCCTGTAATGTAACCCCCAAAAGTGAACCTCAACCCATCACCCTAAGCCCCCACAAAACCATACCCCCCAGTCACCTTATGCCATACACTTTACCCTCTACCCTCGCAAGCAATCCCTGACAGCAAAAATGGTCATAACAACAAACCCCCACCCCTCCCCAACAAAACGCACTCCCTACACAATGCCCGCGTACAAGGGAGGGAAAGGGTATCATGCAGTCTTCAAGCAAGGGTATCGCCCTAAACCCTAAACCGCGGAGGGAAAGAGTATCATTAGGGGGTGGGGGTCTGTTAGGAAAATCAAGGGAGGGGATTGACACTGCGCCCAGAAGCGATTTTCGCCGCTGGGGCCGTTCCCGCTGCTGGAGGCCTGGTGGCCTCAAGAAATTTCTGTTCATAGGTTTACGATTAGGGTTTAGGGCCGCGCCTTAGGGATCTTTCGTAGCCATGGTAGGGATGTGGAGCGGCCATCATCTACCGCTCACTCGACCTAATAACCCCCACCTGAAACATTACTACAAAACCATACCTCTGCAACCTTATACCCTCAACTTTACATGCCAAACCCTCTACACTCAACAGTACTTCCCTCCCCGTAAGAACAATCATAAATTAATCCCCTGAGGAACAGAAGCCTGAGGCACAGAAGCTAGATGTTACGTGTAGATAATATGATATATATATATACTTTTTAACCTAGACTGTATTCCATACCATACGGCTATACAAGAGAGGGAATGTGCATTACTAGCTAGTAGCAGGAAGGATTAACACAAAGTACAGGGCCGTAGCCAAGTCGACACCTACTCAGCACCGTAAACAGGGCATGGCTTGTTGATGTGCCGCGGCCGCTGGATCACCAATGCGCTTTTAGGTCCATGTGTGTGTGAGGCTGCACTGCAAGAAGTCCCCTAGAACAGTCCCGTGGGCTGTACAACTCACCTCTGCTGAAAACTGACCTCTTCTGACAAAATCAAAACTTCTGTTTCAATGTGTACCTTGATGGCAGTTACCCTCCTCAAGCACACCCCTCCCGCCCCAGAGACGTTGCCTCTGCATCTGTTCGCTTCTGAGCCGGCGCTCCGGATTCTGCACGTGCTGGCGAAGCAGACGATTCCTAAGCAAAGTTCTTCTATTGTTGTCCTCGTGTTTTATCCCACTTTTTCCGTAGCATAACACATGTCATACATGCGCTAAATCTTACCTCCCTACAGCCAAGTACGCCAGGAAATTCCTCTGCGCAGCTCTTCTTGGATTAGCCTGGCTCAACGGTGAGAACATGAAAGAATCTACCCTGCATGCTTCTCTAATTGCTATCCATGTACCCTCATTCTGTTGGCACCAGCACACGAAAATTCGAGTGTACTAAACCCCGCGTTCAAAACACCTATCCAAAACCACAAGCCCTACCCCAAAGCAGTTCGCAAAAGGTGTTGCCTAAAGGCAGCGCAAAAACACGAAGCTGGTGGGAACTCCGAACTCATCACAAGTAAGACCAGGCTCCAGTCCCACAACTACAAAAGGCGGCTTCTCAGCCAACACTGGTAGAACCGGTGCCAGGCTCATATGTATAATATAGATATATATATATATGTCTATACAGATGTGGGTTTCCCAAAATCAGGGGTACCTTTTGGGGGTCCTTATAAGAACTTTATGAATATCTTACATCTACATTGAGGTCCCCCTATTCAGGGAAACTACCCTATACGTCAGCAAAAACATCTAGTCAAGGACTCGTAGACAGCTTTCTTGTTCCCGAGAATCTTGATCTGGAGGACACCTAGCGTATGATCCTCCAGACAATCCACATATGAACTATAGTCTACACGCTTAATAACCCCTATATAAATTATATAAAGCATTACATTCCATAACTCCCTTTGAGGAGTTCAAACTTTTGCACGTATCATCCCCACGGGATGAGTCTTCGGTCCTTGTACTGGAACCAAACTTCCAAACACATGCTTGTATATCTCCTTGTCAGCCCGATCCACCCCGCCATGACAAGCTACCAATCTCCGCATGCAGCCATAATCAGCAAAAAAGAAGCCCTAAACAAATCTACTGGAACCTTTCCATAGAAACCCAGTGCGGCCCATGAAACATCTACCAAGAACTTCGTACCTCGTATTTACAGATGAGAAACAGTCTGCGCCACCCAAATGTACATGTCAAAGTGGTAAAAATGCAAAAAATTGCATTGCATGCCCTTAGCCAAAGGTCGTAACCCCATACTCTCATCACTTAGCCCTTGTACCCAAAGTTCATCCTAAACCCTGCACCACGAAACCTTAAGCACTAAGGCCTCATTAAGCCAAGAAGCTTCAGTTGCCTTTGCTGAGGCCTCTCCAGGCTGAGAAACCTTGGTATGCTGACGACATCACCGCAACATTGGGGCTACAGGGGGCAACATTGGGGATCAGGGATCTTAGGGACCTCAGGGCAAAATAGCCATGACAGCGAATCACGATGTGAAGGGCCCTTCGAAACCTGGGTTGGCTGCTATGGAAAGCAGGCACCTACGTCAGGCACACATGATTCCAAGTTGCGTGCACTCGCCATCTTACCACACGAACACGAAATCAAGCAGTTGCCCACACCCCTTCCTGGAAACAAACCAACCTCCATCCGGCTCTTACACTTACCTTGATGCATGAAGACTGCATCACTTATACCGGTCGGGCCAATATGCCACCTTGGCAGCTCTTTGCCACTGATCCTGCTCAGCAGAAGCCGCCAGTGCTGGCGCATGCGAGTCCTTGGCAGGGTTTTGCACAAACACGACTACATGACTGGCGCTCTTGGGAGGATTCCTTTGCTTCCTTTGCTTTCCAGTGTGCTTTGCACGTTTGCCTGAAGGCTGACAACCATCATAGATTCGCCAGATCTTGCAAGGCTAAGCTGTGACCTTTGAACTCAATTTGGGCTACGAATAAGGGAAACCTACTTGCGCCCGCGGAGGGGCAAGGTGCTCTCATTCCAGCATACTCACGCGCAGCTTCAAGCGTTAACATCCAATCCCAACTCTACGTTCGGGACATGAGGCCAAAACCACAAACCTTTCTCCAAATGCTGTTCGCAAAACGTGCAGCTCAAGATGCCCAAAGTGCAAAACCCCAAATGCGAAAACTTGCGTCAGCCCACACCTATGATGCTTTCATCGGGGCAGGGGTGGGGCTGAAAGGGGCTCATCCTCAGCTTGCATGAAACCCGCGCGTTGAGGTACGCATCCCTAGGATTCCCAGAACCCCCCCTTTTACAAACCCTCATAAAATCTCACAAATACCCTCCCAACAACGCCTGCATGAATAGTATCTCAGGTCACCCGCAGTCAACCCTATCTACCTGCCGGCAACACATCCACAAATCTGCCCCCAAAGCACCTGCATAAAACTTATATCAGAATGCATTTGAAAACAAAATCCTCAAAGGACATCTCTTGGAACGGCTCCCTCAAAACCCTATCAATGCGTGTGGAGCGTCCACCTGTCCGCCCACACATGAACGCTCCCTGCACCCCCCATGTACACTTTCAAAGGTGAGCCTGACGCAGCCAAATCAATCCGATACACTTTCCCGAGACTTTACCACAAAACCATACCTCTGCCACGTTTTACCCCTAACTTTACATCCCAAACCCTCTACTCTAAACTGCATTTCCCTCCCTGCTCCAAATAATTTAAACCTCCTGAGGAAAAAGAGCAAAAACTTACATAGCTGTAGCCGTGTAATTTGGCAACTACAGGGCACAGTAAACGTGGCATTGCTTGTTGATGTGCCACAGGGTTAGCATGCGTATTTAGCTCCATGTGTGTGAGCGTACACTGAAAGATTTCCCCTAGAACAGTCCAATGGGCTCTACAACTCACCGGATAATTGACCTCTTCTGACACAGTCAAGACTTCCGTTTCAATGCGTAACTTGATGGAAGCTACCCTCCTTAAACACGTCCTCCTGCCCCAGAGATGTTGCCTCCGCATCTGTTGGCTTCTGAGCCGGTTCTCCGAATTCTGCTAATGCTGGTGAAGCAGGCGATTCCTGAGCAAAGCTGTGCGCGAGCAGCACTTCGCAATGTAGAGCAATTCATATGCCAGAATTCATGAAAAGATTTGTTGTCTTCTTTGCTGCCACTTTCTGCACATGGGTTCTCACCCATGAAACATTCAGCAGGCAGGACAAAGCCCCAGTCCCACAACCAAAATGCATCCAAAATTATTCATGCAAAGTAGAGGCCTCAGGCTTCTCTTCCTGGGACACCCACCCACCCTTAACGTACTATAGCACCAGTATTCCCAAGGTTTCGGGTGCTTAGGGTCATGCAGGATTTTTAGTATCCACCGTAGTATTAGTCAGTCGCTTCAGAACAAATTCTGAAAACCTCACAGAGTGTCTTGTGGAACATTTCCATGGAAGCCCTGTCTAGTCTCACAAAGCATCTGACATTTCTTATTTTATTCTAAGCTGTCCTCATAAACCTGATATACACTTAAATCCTTGAGCTTGAACACTGCCACTTTGACGTCAGAAGCTGAGCCCTATCCAAATACTCGGGCCCCTCCACCTCTATACAACCCGAACCCCTCAACCCGCAGACCAAGTGGCAAAAGCGTCCATCTGCGTTGCTGGAACCGAACCCGGCACCGGATCAGAAGGCTTAGCCGCAGCCTTGCGAGTCACCACGCCAACAAACCATAAGGGGCATGTGGAGGACTTCCGAAAAATGGGCAACATAATCTAGAGTGCTTCCCTATTGATGTCACCCAATGGATATGCGCAGTAGAAGGTTCCGCCATCATCCTCATCATCATGTCATATTCCAACCATCTCTTGATTTGCCATTGCGGATGTTGCTGCGCCCAGTCTTATGGGCAAGCGGTCGTCTCAAAGGAGCTAAAGTCTGCAAAGTATCTAACCGTCAGGCCCATACACACTGCAGTTACATACAGCACCCAAGGTTTTCTTACATACCTTACATCTTTCATGGAAGGCCTAAACCGTAAATCCTAAACCTTGACATCCGCACACGGACTTCTGGCTCTCCCGGAGTTGCTTGAGGGGGTTTTGCAAACAAACGACCAACTGCAGCGCTCGCAAGTTCAAGGAGGGTGCACAGAAGACAACACCGGGCTCCATCATGCTTATTCAATTTGAGGATGCTCAAGGCACACATTGAAGCCCAATTCTCCTCGGTCAGGAGGCCCTGTTAAATAAGTGGACTCAACCGATGCTGTCCGCAACACGCACCGGACACCCAGTGACCCAGTGGCTTTTACAAGTCAAGCTCCTGACTTGCAAATCTCTGCAGTTGCACCCGCAGCTGCAGGGCTACTCGAACCACCCCTTTTTGCATTACCGCGACTCCTTGGAGGGCGAGG